ACCTTTCTCTACCTCCAAGAACTGGTGTCTCAGTGACTGTCTTACTGCACGTCTGGCACAGAAACTTGAGATTAACAGATTTGGTATCAACCCTAGTCCTCTAATGGTTTTAAGAAAATTTGTTCTTTTGCAGTTTATCCAACTTTTTTTCTGTTGTAAGTGTAGGTGGCATTCTTTTCAGCTCCCCATTCAGAGCTGAAACCAAAAATTGTCTTGTTCACCTTACAACATAAATATAACAATTGATTTAAAGTCCCCTTTGGTTCCCATAAACAGTACAAACTCTTTTGCTCTAGTGACTTGCAGTGGACAGGTAACTGGGGCATATTCTCTGGAACATTCTTCTCCTTACCCCAAAAGCATTTCTTGGGTTTGGGAGGATAGTAAGGGAGAAGCAAAGTAGATATCTCTTATTATATGGCTGTCCTTAGCAACATTGGCCATTGTCTGTTGGCTCAACATGAACAGGTGATAGGTTCAATAGTCCCCAATGACAGGAACTCTCCTTATTGTTAGTCATAAAGCCTTGCATTTTTTTTCATGTCCTCTTTTGCTTTGGGATATGAAGGAGCATTTTGTAGGGATGGAAATAAAACATTTTTTTTCGAGGAAGATCAGCCCTGAGCTAACATCCATGCCAATCCTCCACTTTTTGCTGAAGAAGACCGACTCTGAGCTAACATCTATTGCCAATCCTCCTCCATTTTTACCCCAAAGCCCCAGCAGATAGTTGTATGTCACAGTTGCACATCCTTCTAGTTGCTGTATGTGGGACACCGCCTCAGCATGGCCGGAGAAGAGGTGCGTCCGTGCACGCCCAGGATTCAAACCCGGGCCACCAGTAGCAGAGTGTGCGCACTTAACCACTAAGCCATGGGGCTGGCCCCAGAAATAAAACTTCATAGCATAAAAATTTAAAGCATTGCTCCCTTTCAGAGCCAGCTACAACCTGGGTTTGACCAGATAATTTGGGTTTGAAGTAGAAGAGTTAAACCCTTCTCTCAGAGTCCAGTGAAATAGCCCCCAGAACAATAGGGATGGATATGCAGTTAGGACAATAACCCCAACTGACATTGCTCAGACTCCCAGAAGTGCCTTGATTGTTTCTGTTCTAGTAGTTGTGTGGTGACTTCAGTCCTGTATCTGCCTGGTGCAGTGTTTCTGATGTTTGAGTCAGCCCAGCCCATAAGTACAGGAGATCCCAGGCAAAGGGAGCTTGCAAAGGCATGTGGTCCTCCAACTCAGGAGAAAATGGTTGTTACCATCTGTCTGAATACCCACATGCACTGTAGGTACAGGCCATGATTTTGGAGCCAAGGCAGTCAAGCTGTGAACTAGCATGAAATGCCATTTTAAGGCATTAATGGTGGAGGAAGCAACGCCACTGTGAGCCTTGCTCTTTGGGTCTGTCATCTGAAGAATCATTACCAGTATTCTGACATCCTAAAGGATTGGTTGGGCAATATGGTGAAGATAAAATTCAAATTCTTGGGTTTAGGAAAGCAAACTAGTTAAGGATTATTGTCTTAGAGCCAGATAAACCTAGGTTCCAATCTATGTTCTTCCGCTTACCTATATGTGACCTTGCATAAATCACTTACACTCTTTGAGCCTCAGTTCAGTCTCCTATATAAAGGACATAGTATCACCTCTCTCAGAATTGTTTGTCAGAATTAAGAGACAGAGATATGAAAAAATGGTCTGTGAACAGCAGTGCTTTATATCACTTCTAGATCACAGTGTAGAAAAATGAGTGTGAGATCTCCATATACTCTTTTTCTCTGCTGCAGTGGTATCATGATTAGTCTGGATCTCTGGGAAACTAAAGGGAGCAGAACCTCTCCATCCTGAATCCTCATGAAGCTTGAGAAATAAACTTGTGTTAAGCCACTGATATTTTGGAGTTGGTAGCTATCCTAGCATAAGCTTAGCCTAACCTAACAAACACATAAATGGTCCTCAGAATTAAGCCACAGAATCACTGGAATGCTTGTTAAAATACACATTATATGTGGTAAAGCTATATTAGGGGGCAGGCAATAGATAGTGGGAATTATGGTGGTAAGAGAGAACTACTCAATTATCATATCAGAGGGTCAATAAATAATGACTAAAGTTAACAAGTCAAGAAATTGCAGTTGCAAGTCATGCATCTGATAAGGGACTTGTGTTCAAAATAGACAATTCTTACAACTCAACAATAAAAAGACAACCAACTCAATATAAAAATGGGTAACAGGTTTGAATACACATTTCTCCAAAGATATATAAATGGCCAATAAGCACATGAAAAGATGCTCAACATCATTAGCCATTAGGGAAATGCAAATCAAAACCACAACGGGATTCCACTTCATACCCACTAAGATGGCTATAATAAAAAATAAAGTCAATGACAAGTGCTGGGGCTAGGATGTGAAGTTGGAACTCGTATACACTGCTGGTGGGATTGTCAAATGCCACAGTTGCTTTGGAAGACAATTTAGCAGTTCCTCAAAAAGTTAAATGTAGAGTTACCACATGACTAAGCAATTCCACTCCTAGGTATTTCCCAAGAAAACTGAAAACATATTTACATGCAAAAAGTTAACACTGCTGTATGATATATGTGAAATTTGTTAAAAGAGTAAATCCTAAGAGTTCTCATCACAAGGAAAAAATTTTTTCTTTTTTTTCTTTTTCTTTTTATTGTATCTATATGAGATAATGGGCATTAACTAAACTTATTCAGGTAATCATTTCACAACATATGTAAGTCAAACCATCATGCTGTTCACCTTAAACTTTTGCGGTGATGTATGTCAATTATATCTCAATAAAACTGGAAATAAATTTTTAAGTAAAAGAAAGAAAAAATTGAAAAAAGTTATCCTTGCTTCTTGCAGCAGAAATGATTAACTAGTGTATCAAATACTACACACTTTTGTTTTTTTTAAACCAGACACAAATACATTAAATTTAGAGTGCCTCTATATAAAAGGAATCAAAACATTCAAGTGAAGTTAAAGCAGCTTTGGACATAAACATTAGCATGCTCTGATATTATCTACATAATAAACTAAGGCAGAACCATCATTTCTGTACTTGTAAACTTTATAATTTGACTTTTCAATAAAGTTTATCTTAAAAGGCAAAAAAACACAAACCATGTACATGAATGTTCAGTACTGATACATACTACAGTGTGGATAAACCTTGAAAACATGCTACATGAAAGAAGCCAGACACAAGAGGTCATATATTGTATGATTCCATTTATATGAAATGTCTAGAATAGGCAAATCCATAGAGAAGGAAAGTAGATCAGTGTTTGCCAGGTGCTGGGGGGAGGAGAGAATGGGAACACCATTATGTGCTAATGGCTATGAGGTTTCTTTTTAGGGTGATGAAAATGTCCTGGAACCAGACAATGGTGATGGTTTCAGAGCTCTGTTAATATACTAAAAACCACTGAAATGTACACTTTAAATGGGTGAATTTTGTGGTATGTGAATTACATTTTAATAAAGCTGTTAAAAAAATAGCAGCATAAGCATATTATTCAGAAATATGAAGGTAAATATGAGAAGAAACCACAAACATCTATGGTAGTTGCCTCTGGAGAGTGGGAATGTAGAATAGCAAGGCAGACTGCAGTTTTTGATAATAAATTCTTTTACACTATTGGATTTTAATATTCTGTACATGTATCCATTTGATAAAAATAAAATTGAGCTAAAAAAGGACACACACACACAGACAAGTCAAAAGGGATTCTGATACATTGGATCTAAGGTGGGGTCCAGGATTCTGCAAGATAGCTAGGTGATTTTGATGCAGGTGGTCTGCTAGTAGCTAACAAACTTTGAGAAACACTACCATATGCAATGTTATAATCATTTAGCAATGAATTGTGGTATAACCCTCTCCTGCTGTGTTCCTTTTGGAGTTACAAGTTTCAGTAGCTAAAGAATGACATTACGTGCTCAAGGCTATATATTCAATTAGGGACAGAACTGAGCCAAGAATTAAGGCCTTCTGACTCAATAATTAATGTATTGATTTTTTAAGCTTCTACTATGTAAGTACCAAAATGAGTAAGATAAATTCTTTGGTTTGAAACGGGCAAGTCTAGTGGGGTAATTATAACAGCTAGAAAATACATTAAGATTTTACAAAGCATTTTTCTACATTTCATGTCAGGATTAATAAAATTGTAATGTGAGTAGAGGGACCTTTTCTATAGTTCAGTAGGGAACATGGTGGGGATTCAACTCACCAGGGACCCCAGGGAAACCAAAAGTGCTTTGTTACCTTAAGGATTCCAGCCCTGCAGCAGCAGTGGGGCCCTCAGGAGGGTGCAGGACCCATAAGAAGAGGCACAGTGCCCTCAGTCATGGTATTACCCAGGGGAGAGGGGCACCCACATTTCAGCTGTCTGGACTTATTCCTGGGCACAGGTGAGAGCCCCCTCAGCCCTCCCCCAAACGTCTGACAGGGTTCTGGGCTTGCAAGTGCAGGGGAGAGGGCAGGAGCCGACCCAACACAGTTCACACACTCGATACCTCATCTGATCTTCTCCACAGCCCTGGAAGGCAAGTTTTGTCCCCATTTCACAGATGACAAGACTGTCCTTACAGCAATGGGTCTGTAATCACTGCCAGGTTGATTCCTCAAGCTTTGAGTCCTAGAGGTAATCAGAGTTTTATGCATCATTTACATCCTGACACCAAGAATTTTTAAGTGCCTCCACTGCCTTCATAAGCTCACTGAACAGTTATTTTGATTGGTTGGTATGTATTTTTCTATTTTTTAATCTTTTATTATTTATTGTATGACAAAATTAATCTGTGCTTTTTAGGGAAAAAAGTACAGATGAGAAAAAGGATAATCTCTTCCACTGCCACCACACAGAGAAAACAATTATTTCTCTTTTGATCTACTCAGTTTCATAGTTTTCCCTGTGCATGGACTCATTATGCAACTTTTTTTTTTTTCCAAAAATGGGCTGATGCTGTATATGCGGTTCTGAAAACTGTTTTCTCTTTATTGTTATTTTACAATGTACCATGAACATCTCTTCCATGCACATGGGTGAAAATCCCCTACTCACAGACAGAGCACTGTAGTTGGATCAAAAGGCTGCTGGTAACAAGAGTGACACCTAAAGCAAAGTATCAGCTTAAGGTTAAAGCACATAGCCTGGCAAATGCCTGCCAGGGAAAGCGGGGTTGGCAATATTCCCATCAGAGAAATCAGAATTAGAGGCCAAAGGCATTAAACATATGGAACATCTTCTAAGTCTTTCTGGCCCCTACCTCCGCCCCTCACTCCCCTGACACCTCGTTGGCCCCTTGGGGCGAATGGATCCTGTATATCTCTTTGCATCCAATGAAAACCACCCACTTTCTGTTTTTTCCTTAGCTCTTCCTGAGCCCTTGACATATCTCCACATTCTCTCATCATCTCCTCACCGCCCAAATGCCTTTCCTGTAGGTCCTCCTGATAGTCCTTGGGGGAGTCATCCGTCCCCCTGTCAGTTTTTCTTTTTGCTTTCCGGGGCACATAATCTTCAGCCGGGCGCTTTTCGGCAGCCTGCGGCTCACTCACCGGCTTTGCCTGGGATTCTGGCTTGCCCTCGCTGCCGTGTGGTTTTCCCTCATCTTCAGACTTGCCCTGTGTGTCCTGCTTTCCCTCATCTTCCGGTTGTGCCTCATCATCTGGCTGTCCCTCATTCTGGAGCTTTCCCTTGTGCCCTGGCTTCCCCTCCACTTCCAGCTTTTCTTCCTCATCTGACTTTCCTTCATCTTCTGTATCTACTTCATCTTCTGGCTTTCCCTCATTTTGTAAGTTTCCTTGATTTTCTGGCTTTCCTTCATTTTCTTTGTAGACCCTTTCCATGTTGAGATTTTTCCCTCCTTTGCCTGTCCTAGGAGACAAAGAGGAAACAAAGGTGACTGAGGACTTAGGTGGTGGAATACAGGTCCTGATAGTACTTGCCTTTATGATTTAAGGTTTTCCCCACCCTATCCCAACTTCCAGGTGCACTCCCACCCATACATTTTTTCCTTTCCTTTTCAAACATGTTTACATAAGCCAACCTTGCAGAAACTTCCACAGGCGCTTCCCCCTACATTTAAGTGGGGCATGCTGAGAAGTGTGTAAGAGCAGGTTTGTCCCCAAACTTTGCTCTGGCCTTGTCTATGCCCATAACAATTTTAACTGGATAGTCCCAACTTACACTGACCTACAGGCCAGTTCCTTTTTTCTCTTGCCTGCAGTTGTAAGACTTACAGAACTGCAGACACAGCAGAACAATGGTCAGTTCTCAGATTTTAGGGCTACTCTAATATCCTCAAGGGGCTTCACAGAGTATCTCACGTCCTTGTTCTCCCCTTTATCCTCACCAGCCATCAAGCACCATGTTTTCTTATCATCCAGAGGCCATGTGTTCTGAGACTGCAATAAGGAGGCTTGGAGGAGGGGTGGCAGCTAGTGGCCTCTCCAACTTCTGCTCAGGCTTAAGTCACTCCTACTCCCAGGGATTCTGGGGCAGTTGCCCTCACCCACTGACCTGCGCTGATCCTGCAGGTCTTTCCTTTTCTTGTCTGGGTTGGTGCCTACAACCACAGACCCGAAGACCTATAGAGAGACAGGAGACAGATGGTGAATGAGTGACTGAGAAGTGAATGACTGGCAACTGGGACACTGATTCTTTTCAGACTCTAGTTGTCAAAATTTTACCAACTTCTGCTGCCCCCTTGACCTTTCCTTTGCTTCCCTGATCCCCCTCTACAGCCCCTCCCTAACAGCCTCCATTTTTCTACCACTGGACAATGGCAGAGAAAGATTATTTCCAAAGTGTTTCTATGTTTCTGAATCCTCCTCCCAAATTTCTGTCTCACTTTTGCTTGCACTAAAATGAGTGAGGCTCAGGACAGGGATGTTCAGAAAGCAGATCTTGCTGTGCTCAGGTCTCTGCCTCCCAACCCACCCCCACTCCACGGTGCCCAGATTGTACAAAGCCCACCACTTCTCTGAAAATGGTGATGGTAGAGTCAGGGGGCAGGGCAGAAATGTCCAGAGCATTCCTGCCACCCCCTCCCTCTTCACATACACAGAAAGACCACATATTTCTGCAATGCAAGAGACAAATTATTTCCAAATTCAGTAAAATTTTTTGGTCCATGTTACCTCCTCTCAACCCTACCTAATTCAGAAGCCACATCTCCACAATGCGGAACTGATCTCCAGACTGAACCTCTGTCCCCCTCCTCTGCTCTTCTTCCCCGGACTCCTCTGGCCCTCTACCCCCACCCTGCAGCCCACAATTTCCGGCTCCAAAATGGATGGAATGTGGAGAGAGAATGCAGGCCTAGCCAGGGGTCGGCCCTCCCCATCCCAGGCTCACAGGCTGCTGTGCCCTTCTTCTGCGGCCCGGCAGGGATCAGGCCATTTCCGCGCCATCCCCGGCCCCCCGGCCCTCTACCTCCATCAGAGGTGGCTGGCAGATTACCTGCCTCCTAGGAGATCCCAGCTGGTACCCATTCTCAACCCCTGGCCCCTTTCCATCTCCTCCCACAAAGCCCTTCATTTCTTGCACCATACAGATGGGCATCAGGGAAGAGGTAAAGAGAATCCAGTCCTGGATCTGCTCTGGTCTTTGCTCTCTGACACCCCCACTCCACGGGTCCGCAGCCGGTGCTGGATTTGTAGCCATCCCAGGGAGATGCCTCCTTTTCCTCACATTTCTTTCTGCCACAAACCCGCACTTATCCAGGGAAATAAGAAATGGTACCCAGACCTCTCCCCCAACACTCACACAATTTTCTGCGCCAAAATGAATGGGGATGGGAAGGAGATGGCATCTGGAAAGCAGACCGGATCCTCTGTAGCCTCTGGCCGTTACCACCCTACCCCAGGGGTCCCCACCCGCTCCGTCTTTTACCGACCTGCAGGGCTACAGGGCAATTGACCCCTGTCTCTCAGTCTAAAATCTATCTTCCTCCACGGAAATAGGGAGCTGGTACCTGGAGGAGAGGGACTTCTGTACACGTCGGCTCCTGATCACGTGAGGGAAACGTCACCAGTGGGCTCGGGTCCCTAGTTCCCCTCCCACTAGTAGAAAGTGCGTCAGGAGCCAGCCCACTTCTTCCTTTCACTAGCCCCCTTCCGCCTCGCCCCCCTTCCGTCCCCTCCCCTTGCAGCATGAGGAAATGTCACTCATTTTGGTCTTCGCAAATCCCAGAGGTCAAATGTGGCCCCTTCTCCCTGTGGTATGTTTTTGTTCTGTCTTATCAGGGAGGGGCTGCATCTTCTCCTAGGGCTACTGGTCATTGGTACATCTCCAAGAAATTTTTTTCTTTCTCTCCTTTGATCTCAAAGCACCTGCCCCCTCAATCTACTTCTCCACTCAGCCATTGCTCATTCCTCCTGTCCTCTGTACCTTCATATAATAGGTACAGGGTGGATTGTCAGGTAGGGAAGCAGGTAGTTGAAATAGGGATTTTATATTATTCTAAATTTTTTTTCAGTTTTATTTAATTTACTTCCCTCAGCATGTGTTATTCTTATAAGCAAAAAATTAAATAAAGCTATTTTCATTTGAGGGAAAGAACGTGTTTAATATAGAGGAAAAAAACAAGATTCCAAAATTCTGAGACCAAGTTAAGTTCATAACATTAATTTTTACTGTATAGAAAATGGATTCAATTGCCTACATACAAAAGAATTTTTTTTTTAATTTTCATAAATAGCTGGCTCTGTCATGTTCTACTAAAAACACCTGTATTTAATGTTCCCAAACAACGGCTGAGTGCTCAGTAGACTTGCTGGAATATGACTGCTGACACAATATCAGTCTTGAAAATTTCGCCCATAGCGATTTTCATTTAGAGATTTAGCTGTAGGCAAAGGCAGCTGAGGATCTGAGGGATGCAGACATGGTCTGATCTTCCCTGCCCTGTCAAGAGGGGAGGAATATGCTGTTTCCTGACCCCTTCTCACCTTCCAGAGCCTCTCATCCTTTGCATTCAAGCACTTGACTGTTGCTTACTGAAAAAATATACATGGAGAGGTGACCAAGGTGGTGATCTAAGTAAATGCCTTTGGCTCCCTCTCTCCCTCTCCCAAATTCCCACAGAGGTAACTCAACCCCACCAGAGATATGAATGCTGTTCTGACAACTGGAAACCAGAACAGATCCCTTGTATGTCCCTGCAGCAGATGGTTTCCATAAAGCCTGGGGAAGTGATTGTTGGGGGAAGAGCCTCCAGACCTACCTGCTCTCTGCCCTTATTCACAGTGCCTAGGTGGAAGCTTCCTTGACCTTATCTACTGCCTACCGCCTGACTTAGGTGGTGCAGCCTGCTGGGTGTCTTAACTGCCAGTCCACACCCATCCTCATGTCCTCTCAGCCAGATTTAGGCCAGTGTCTAAAGAACTCTTACATGCTGACCATACTGATTGACCTAGACCAGGTGTTCTCAACTTAAGAAGTCTGGGGACCACCTGAAATGGTATGCAAGGTTGCATATGTTTAAGAGATAGTAGAGTATGTACACTAATGAAAAGAAGATCTGTACCCTAGAAACCTGGGAAACCCTGATATGGGAGCAGATTGACATCGTGAAGAAGCAGAAGCTATGAGGTAGAGAAAAGACAGAGAGGAGAAGGAGAGGAAGCTACTTGGGAATGAGACAGAAAGGGGAAGAGACAAATGGCAGCTGAGCTATGTTAAAAGGAATGCAGTTACTTCTTGGGTTCCGGCATTCTTAACTAGAGAAACCTATGAATTCCCTGGAATTATGTTCAAAATGATGTGCATGTGTGTGTGCTGGGGGAGGGATAGGATATATACATTTTTACTGGGTGTGTACATTTACCTAGGATAGGATCCGTTGCTTTCATGAGATGCTCAAAGGGGTATGTAATATAAAAAAATTGAAGGCCAAATGGCCTAGAGAATGTACTTTTATATACACCTTTTTTCAACTAGGACTATCTTTATTTTTTTAGGAGAAATTAACATAACATAAAAATTAACCATTTTGAAGTGTACAACTCAGTGGCATATAGTACATTCACAATGTTGTGAAACCATCACCTCTGTCTAGTACCAAAACATTTTCATCAACTGCAAAGGAGACCCCGTATCCATGAAGCAGTCACTCTCAGTTCTCCCCTTCCCCCAGTCCCTAGCAATGACTAATCTGCTTTCTGTCTCTATAGAATTATCTATTTTGGATATTCCTTATAAATGGAATCATAAAATATGTGACCTTTTGTATCTGGCTTTTTTTCACTTGGCATAATGTTTTCAAGGTTCATCCACATTGCAGCATGTACAGTATTTCATTCATTTTTATGGCTGAATAATATTTCATTGCATGTCCATATCATATTTTGACTTTATTCATTCAAATGTTGACGGATACTTGGGTTGTTTCCACCTTTTGACCATTGTGAATAGTGCTGCCTTAAACATTTCTATGTAAGTATTTGTGTGAATGTATGTTTTTGTTTTTCTTAGGTAGATATCTAGGAATGGAATTGCTGGGTTATATGGTAATTCTATGTTTAAGTTTCTGAGGAACTGCCAAACTGTGTTCCACAGTGGCTGCAACACTCTGCATTCTTTCTAGCAATGTATGAGGGTTCGAATCTCTCCACATTCTTGAAAACAATTGTTAATTTCCATTTTTTGATTTTTGTAATTCTAGTGGGTGAGAAGTGGTTTTGATTTGCATTTTTCTATTGACTAATGATATTTAGTATCTTTTCATGTGCTTATTGGATATTTACGAAGAAATATCTATTCAAGTCCTTTGCCCGTTTTTTAACTGGATTGTTTGTCTTTTGGTTGTTGACTTGTAAGAGTTCTTCATATATTCTGGATACAAGACCCTTATTGGATATATGATCTGCAAATATTTTCTCCTTTTCTGTGGATTGTCTTTTCACTTTCTTAACAGTGTCCTTTGATTCACAAAAGTTTTTTATTTTTTTTTTTTAAAGATTTTATTTATTCAGTTTTTTCCCCCCAAAGCCCCAGTAGATAGTTGTACGTCATAGGTTCACATCCTTCTAGTTGCTGTACGTGGGACTCGGCCTCGCGTTGGACGGAGAAGTGGTGCCTTGGGGCGCTCCCGGGATCCGAACCCGGGCCGCCAGCATCAGAGCGCGCGCACTTAACCGCTAAGCCACGGGGCCGGCCAACACAAAAGTTTTTTAATTTTTATGAAGTCCAATATATCTATTTTTCTTTTGTTGTTCATATCTAAGAATCCATTGGTATCACATCTAAGAATCCACTGCCAAATCCAAGGACATGAAGATTTACCCCTTTGCTTTCTTCTAAGAGTTTTAAAGTTTTAGCTCATATATTTAGGCCTTTGATCCATTTTGAGTTAATTTTTGTATATTGTGTGAGTTAATTTTTTTATAGCTGTAAATTTAAAGATTCTTTTGATGGCAGGACACAACACTGTCACCAAAATAGATACAAAGCAGAACTCTTTGTTACTTATAGCTCCAAAAGAGAAAAAGCTGCCAGGCAGGGCCACACTGGGTTAGTCCTGGATAATGGCAAGTTGGATCTCTAAGGGGCAGCTTATGTATTACAAGCGGGGTGAGATTAGCTAGATTTCTCTGGCTCCCTGTGGACTGGCTAATTTGAATAATTTCTCAGTCTCCAGGGTATAGAGATTGTCCCTAGTTGTTTGGTACCCAGCCCCTGATTAGGGTTGGAGCAGTGTCTCAGAGTGTGAACGCCTGATCAGGGAAGTGGTTGGAGCATGGACTTCATCAGCTGCTCAAGAAGGTACTTGACTGGCCTCTAGCCAGGGTCTCAAAATTGAGTCAAGACAGCATTTTTACAAAAAATATATTACAATTGATACCTTGATGTCTTGACATCCCTTTTGAGCTTGATTATTTGGGATATTTGAGTGGTCTGAATAGTTGAGGAGACTCACAGAGAGTAGGGCATAAGTTGCCCTAAACAGCATAGAAAACATTTTATTATGAAAGCATGTAGGAGGAAAACAAGTGGAAGAATAAGGAGTCTTTGTAGGCCAGGTATAACAAAGTTCCTTATTTATAGGGCATTAGCCCAGAAACCAGATTTGAAATTTTCAGGGTCTTTAGCAACATCTTTGGTAAAGTTTTAAAATGTGTTATAAGTGCGAATTATACATTTATATGACAAAAATATCTTGGTGACAAGTCCAGTAGTTATGCTTTTGGAGGGTATGAACTGATAGTTTAGTAAACTATATGGAAAAGGTTAGTGGTATTTATAGCCAAGGAGAAGGGACAATTGTAGTGTTCATGGTCGGAGATACAGTACAGGAGATAATGGTGAAAAGTTGGAGGGGAGGAGTAGGAGAAAGTGCTGGGGAGTGGGAGGTTCTCTCACTAGGTGGCTGAGGTGTGGTCTAGGAGATAGTTGCTTCCTGAGGAAAGCAATAATCTCCATTAATTTTTAGAATGGCATTAATAGTAATAACTTTTATAAGATTTACTTTTAGGCATAGGAGCATAGAGGTGTCTTTTGGCAGAGAGCAAAGCATATATCAGGGTCATGAGTTAAGTATGCGATGAACTTGGGAAATGTAATAGAATCACTAATATCAAAGGAAGAAAAGCAATAAACATATTGTGTCCAATTTGTCAGTATCTTAGGAAAGGCAGCGCATAGGCATTGCTGGGACGATGGTCTCAGTGTCTGGGATGAAGTCTTCCTCTGTGTAGGGAGCAAAGTCATCTCCAAGGGTGAGGTCTTAGACTAGGACAATATCATCTGAAGAAACATCATCTCCAGCAGTGAGCTTCTGGGTCGGGGTTGATGTCATCTGGGATGTGGGCCTGTGTATCCTTTCCAAGTGGATATCCACTTGGGTTGATGAGTCACGTTTTTGTGGCTTTTTGGTATTATAAGGAGGCTTAGATGCTTATAGAATTTGAAGGCAATGTTGGGCCTAGGAGCTTGACTTGCAAATTTTTTTAGATTGTGTAAGTTATTGTAACATGAAATTTGCCCTTTTAACCATTTTTTAGTATACACTTCAGTGGCATTGAGTACATTCACATTGTTGTGCAACCATCACCACCATTCATCTCCAGAACTTTCTTCATCTTCCCAAATTGAAATTCTGTACCCATCAAACAATAACTCCCCATTCCTCTCTTCCTTCAGCCCCTGACAAACACAACTCTACTTTCTATCCCTAGGAGTTTGACTGCTATAGATTTTTGTATAGATGAAATCATGCAATATTTGTCTTTTTCTGTCTGGCTTACTTCACTTGGCATAATGTCTTCAAGGTTCATCCATATTGTAGCATGTGTCAGAAATTCATTCCTTTTTAAAGCTGAATAATATTTCATTTTATATATATACTACATTTTATTTTTCCATTCATCTGTCGATGGACAACTGAGTTGTTTCCACCTTTTTTTCTCAGTTTTATTGAGAAATAATTGACATACATCATTGTATAAGTTTAAAGTGTACAGCATGATGGTTTGATTTACATATATTGTGAAATGATTACCACAATGGGTTTAGTTAACATCCATCATCTCACATAAATGCAACAAAAAGAAAAGAAAAAAAATCCTCCTTATCATGAGAACTCTTAAGATTTACTTTCTTAACAATTTTCCTATATATTATACAGCAATGTTAACTACAGTCACCATGCTATACATTACATTTCCATGACTTATTTATTTTATAACTGGAAGTTTGTACTTTTTGACCACCTTCACCCATTTCATCCCTGCCTCTGGTAACTGCAAATCTGATCTCTTTTTCTATGAGTTTGTTGGGGGTTTTTTTCCCCTAAATTCCACATACAAGGGAGACCATTCAGTATTTGTCTTTCTCTCTCTGACTTACTTCCCTTAGCATAATGCCTTCGATGTCCATCCATGTTGTTGCAAATGGCAGGATTTACACTTTTTTTTTATGGCTGAATAATATTCCATTGTACACACACACACACACACACACACATATATATATACCACAACTTCTTTATCCATTCATCCATTGATGGACACTTAGGTTGTTTCCATGTCTTGGCTGTTGTAAATAATGCTCCTATGAACATGGGGACATAGATATCTTTTCGAGTTAGTGTTTTTGTTTCCTTTGGATATATTTCCAGAAGTGGAATTGCTGGATTATATGATAGTTCTATTTTTAATTTTTGGAGGAATCTCCATACTGTTTTTCATAGTGACTGTACCAATTTACAATCCCACCAACAGCGCACGAGGGTTTCGTTTTTCTCCACAAACATACCAGCATTTGTTATCTCGTCTTTTTGATGATGGCCATTCTAACAGATGTGAAGCAATATCTCTTTGTTAATGTGCTATTTGTTTCCATTTGTCCCATCTATTCTTTGTTCTCTTTTTCCTCTAACATTTTTTGACTGTTTTGAAGATTCCATTTTATCTCATATGTCGGCATATTAACTACAACTTTTTTCATGGTTGTTTTAAGGCTTATAGTATACAGTTTTAACATTTCAGAATCTATCTTCAAGTGATACCAATATATACAATAAGAACTTTAAAATTGTGTCCTTCCATTCCCCCTCTCCTGGCCTTTGTGCTATTATTGACACAACTTTTACTTCCACGTATGTTATAAATCCTACAATACACAGTAAGCTGGGGACAATCAGAAGGCTCATGTTATTTGGTTCCCTTTCTCAGGGAACTTTGCCCTCCACTGTCTGATGTTCAATAACTGAAAACTGTGGTTTCATATATTTTGTCCAGCTTTTAGTTGTTTCCGTTAGGGAGGTAAATCCAGTCCGTTACTCCATTTTCATTTGAAGCATAAATGTGGGTTGATGTTTTAAATGACAATTAATCATGAAGGCTTTATTTCACTTCTAACCAAAGTTCATTTCCTATGCTATCTAGATTTCCTGGAAAAGTCCAGTGTCTGTGCACTCTCCCTGCTCTGTCTCTGGCTAGAAAGTTCGAACTGCAGTGTTTCTTTGCTCACAAGGTGGCCCTTAAGTTTATTTTCTGAATTTCCTTCAATGGACTTGAATTTTTTAAGGAAAAAAAACTGATTATTTTTATTCAAAAGTTATATTATCTGTCTCAAAATTATCTCAATTTTGTTAGAAATACATAAGGATTCAAACATGTATATCTGTTTATCATTTGCTAAATACCACTAGATCCATACTTATCTTGTTCAGTTTTTCATTCATCAAATATCTACTAAATGTACATGATGTGCTAAAACTCCAATGGCCCAATCCATATCTACATTTCAAACCTCCTTCTTGAACATCCTTTTTCTTTGAAGATTTTATTTATTTTTTTCCCTCCAAAGCCCCAGTAGATTGTTGTACGTCATAGTTGCACATCCTTCTAGTTGCTGTATGTGGGACGCGGCCTCAGCATGGCCGGAGAAGCAGTGCGTCGGTGCGCGCCCGGGATCCGAACCCAGGCCGCCAGCAGCGGAGCGCGCGCACCTAACCGCTAAGCCACGGGGCCGGCCCATCATCCTTTTTCTTTGAGAACCAGGGAACACTCCGTAATCTCATTGCCTTCCCTTTGCTAGATTTTTAGGTATTCATGGGAAGAATTTGTCTATCACTTTTGTGGAGAATGGCCACTCTGAGGATGAAAAAGAGGCTCACCACATAACATATAGAAATGATATAAATAGGCAAATGGAGCCAGAACCTTCGATATGGCTGTTCCCCCCAAGGGAACCCCGTGCCCTGTTCCCTTACTGCCTTTTGCTCACCTTCTGCTGGTTGTTTGTTGCCTGAGCATTTTATGTGGAGCCTGATCACTCACATGCTACTCCCTCAGATGCCGTTTCAGATCCAAACATTCTGTTCAGAGCCAAGGGAAGCTGGTTAGTACAGGGCTCTCTCTCCAGAGACTAGAATCCTAAACCCATCCTTCTCTGAGGTTGACAGAGCAACTTGGATCTGCCTATACACCAAAGAGATGTACACTTTTCTGGGCATATGCATGTCTACCCTTCTATCACGATATGCCATGGGTTCACATGTGAGCATCCAGTTTCTTTTCATGAACTACTAAATGTGCTTAGGCCAATGAAGCCAGAATACTTCTGTTTTCCACAGAAGCTGGTGCTAACACTGGCAATCAAAGAGTATGAAGTGTGGTAGGGCATAAGCCTCTCTGTTCATCCGTTTTCATGCCTTTTCAACTTTAGCCTTTCTCTTATATATATAAACTTCTATTGTGCATGAATACGCCTTGTGTCTCAAGCACCTAGAAGAGGGCGGGCTTTGGAATTGCTTAGGCATCTTATTCATGATGTCTGGGGTTTGCTGTGTTACATGATGTTTTCACCTGCCTATCCACCTTTCCCTGTTTTCCTAAGTGCTATTGTGATGTTGTAGTCTAGAGCAAGGGTTGGCAAACTTTTTCTGTTAGGGCCAGATAATAAATATGTAGGCTTTGCAGGCGGGCCATACTGTTTCTTTCACAACTATTCAACTCTGCCACTGTAGTGCAAAACCAGCCATAGACATTATATAAATTAATGAGTATGACTGTATTCCAACAAAACTTTATGGACACCAAAATTTGAACTTCATATACTCTTTATACTTCACAAAGTATTCTTGATTTTTTTCAACCATTAACAATGTAAAATTTAGTCTGAGCTCATTTTCCAATAAAATAATCAGTAGGCTCGATTTGGCTCATGGGCTGTCCTTGGCAACTTCTGTTCTAGAATCCTAACTTCTAAGTTTATTTCTACAAGACTGTCTTCATACATATGTATCTCACCTACTTAGCACACTCCAAGGCAACATCATTATTAGGTTTATATTTTTAAATAAGAGATCCAGAGGTAAGCTAAAACTGAGATTCTGTCACAGTGTTTAGTAAGTGCTCACATTGCTTTTATCAGGTGATCAGCTCTTTCATTAAGTAATATGTGTTCAGTTTTGAAAAATAATACGAGAAAAATTATTCATATTTCTACCATAAAGAGATGAACACTTTACCTTTTTACTTTATATACTCTTAGACCGTGTGTTCATATATAGAATATATTAGATTTGAAGTAAAAAAGACTACAGAGAATGTTTTTTTAAACTGCTTTATTAACTTCACAATAATAATGAGCATCTTTCCATGCAATAGGTAAAACTCCCTTGCTGACAGAATCTTACAGACTGGGTCAAAAACACAACATTCAATTAGAAGCTGGTAATAGGAGACCCACCAGACCCGAGTAACACCAAAAGGTTTATAACAAAAGTATATCACAAACATGTAAGTTTAGGAAGCAGGTGTCTCCCTATCAACATCAGGGAAAACATCAGGATTCAAGGCATAAGGCAAAACTCATCATGATGGTCACGGTGTGGGGGGTCAGTGCTAACTGCCCGCAAACTATGACTCAACTGCTTTTCCCTTAGCTTTTCCATCAGCTCTCTCACCTCCTCCCCAATCCTTTCCATATTCTCTTGTCTCACCCTTGCCTGCGGCTCTCCAAGCCTCTGGATCATGTGCCATCTACACTGCAGGATGGGCTGCCTAACACGGAACCGCCTACGATTTCCTCTAGGCACACAATATTCACCAGCTTCCAAAGGGAGGGCCCAGCGCTCGACTTTATTAGCATCTTGCTCCTTTTCATCCTTTTTTTCATTTTCCTGCTTGGTATTTGCCATGTTGAGATTTTCTACTGCTGCTTCCTCTTTGGACGCCATTGCTCCTAGGAGACAAGAGACGAGAGGAGGGGCTATTTTCTTGGTCGGCTGATCAGCACCGAGGACAGAGGCCCTACTACGCACCTTTTAAGATTCAGAGCCCTGGATTCCAAAGACTTTTTTAAATTTCATTTTTCCCACCTGAGAGGCTCCCTACGCCCTCTAGGGGGCCCCCAGTCCGAGCTCTCCCCCCTCCCTCTCGCTTCTCTCCCCTCCCCTACCTCGCCCCAAACCCACCATTTTCCTTGCCGATCCATCCCCAGGCCCCTGCAGGCACCAAAATGGAGGACGGGCTTGGGGAGAGGACTTGGGGTCTCTGGGCTTTCCACACGTTCCCCACCCCCGTCCCCGCCACTGTCCCCGCACCGACCTGGGCCTATCCTTGCCGTCTCCTCCTCTTCCCGATTCTCGCCGCGAGCGCGCCGCCGCGACACTCAGACCCGCAGACCTGCAGAAGGCCGGGCTGGGGCAGCGGGGGCGGGAGCTGCTGAAGCCAAGCGCTCGGCGCCGACCCGCCACCGCCCGGTCCCGGCCCCCCGGTCGCCCCCGGCCTGCGTCTCCTGCCCCCACCCCAGCCGTCCGTGCCAGCCGCCCTCCCGCGCGCGGACCACCATTTTCTACACCAAGGAGGACAGGGGCGGGGGGGGGGTGTCGCCAAAGCTCGCGGTGGTGCGGGAGGCAGGTGTTTCCGAAGGCTCGTCGCCTCGGGGCCGTGCAGCCCTCCACACAGGAAAGGCCCACCATGTTCTGCGGCCAAACACGGAGCCGCGGGGACGTGGGGCTGCGGTCTCTGCGCACCTGCACCCGGGGCAGCCGGACCCCCTGGCAGGGTCCGCAGGCCGTGTCCGCTCTCCCGCGCCAACCCCAGGGAGCCCCCTCCGGGTCCCTTACCTGCTGCCCCTCCGCCTCCTACTTTTCGTGGCCGCCCGCCGCCCGCCCGCCCGCACGCCCTCAGGGCCACCGGGAGCAGAGACCGAGAAGGCAGCGAGCGACGCCGGGTCTGACGCCGGCGCGAGGCGCGCGAGTCAGCATGGGCCGGTCACGTGAGGCCTCCGTCCGCGCGAGCGGCAGAGCCCCTCCCGCCCCGCGGCGTCGCGCCGAGTCAGTCGGTCCGCGCGCCTCTCCCGGCCCCCCTGCCCTCCAGCACCGGCCTGGGCTCTAATGCGCGCCCTGCTTTGTGTATTCCTGGGCTTTTCTCGGCCTGCCCGGGAAGGGCAGGATCTTCTCAGGAGGCTCTTGGCCATTGCCACTTCTTCTCTGGGGACTTGGCTCTTCCCCTCCTCTGCTCCCAAGATAAGCCTCCTTCCACATGCTGTCCTTTCTGCTGCCAATGCTCTCCATTTTCCTTCCACTAAAATGCACAGTTGTGGTCTAGTGGTTAAGATTCTGCACTCTGACCGCGGTGGCCGCGGGTTTTTTTCCCCATCAGGCAACCACATTACCCATCTGTCCCTCTGTTGGTTGTCATACTGTGGCACTGGGTGTTGCTGTGATGCTGAAAGCTATGCCATGGGTATTTCAAATACCAGCAGGGTCCCTCATGGTGGACAGGTTTCAGGGGAGCTTCCAGATTAAGGCAGACTAGGAAGATATACCTGGCATTCACTTCTGAAAATATTGGCCATGAACCACCTTTCGAATAGCAATGGAGCATTGGCTGGAACATAAGAGGATGGCGCAAACAGACCAGGAAGGGTTCAGCTCTGCTGCACATAGGGTCGCTAGGAGTTAGAATAGACCCTACAGCACTAACAACAACAAAAAATGCCTAGGAGATATATGCCAGGAAAAGAGCCTAGGAGAGTGTATTTTTAATAATATCTCTCTCTTGTTTCTTTTATAGTAAACAAAAAAATATACTTCTTTAAAAAGAACAAAAGAAATAAAGTTATTTTTATTTAAAAAACAAGATTATAGTTGGAAAAAACCCCAACCACCTGTCTCTTCTAATAAGTCATTATATAAATATAGCCTCTACAGGCAGCTACTTTTTTAGAACTTGGAAAAGGACGGGGCAGCTGATGGCTTCCTTTCTGAGGGGCCCTAGATTCATGAGGCCCTTCCATGAGGTGAGCCAATGAGTGTGTGATGCCACAGAGCCTTGTTGGATTTTCAGAACTAAAACAACAAAAAAACCTCACAAATTTCTGGTTCAAAAGGCAATAAGTATGTCTTTATTTGCAAATAGCATGATCATGTATTTAGAGAATACTAAGAGATCTACAATAAACCTATAGAACTAAGAATTTAATTTATCAGGATTGCAATTATAGATAGATATACAAAAGCTCAATTGTATTCGTGTATGCTAGTAATTAATAATTGGAAATTGAAACTGTGTGTGTATGTGTATATAAATATATATACATAATATATGATAGCTTCCAACAACGTGAAATACTTGGGGATAAATTTAAGAAAACATGTAGAAAATGTATATATGGAAAACTACAAAACACTGCTGAAAGAAACTAAAGATCAAAATAAATGTAAAAATAAACCATGGTCCTGTATCAGGAAATTCAGTACTGTTACAATATCAATTCTCTTCAAATTGAGCTATCAATTCAGTGGAGTCAAAATCAAAATTGCAGGCAGGTGTCTTTGTATAACTTGACAAACCTACGCCCAAATTTATATGGAAATGCATAGGATCTAGAATAGAGAAAATAATTTTGGAAAAACACCCCACAAATCTGGAGAATTGCATTATCTGATTTCCAGAATAATGATGTAGTAATAAAAGTAGTGGAGTAATGGAGTATACATAGATATTGGACTTATCAAAATTAAAAACTTATGCTCTTTGAAAGATATGGTTAAGAAAATGAAGTGGGAAACCGGGAGAAAATATTTACAATACATGTAATTGACAAAAGGTTTGTATCCAGAAGATACATAAAGAACTCCTAAACTTTAAAATAAGAAAGCAAACAATGCAATAAAAAATGATCAAAAGATTTGAACAAACATTTGCAAAAGTACATGTACAAATTGCAAATGCACTCATGGAAAGATGCTCAATCTCATTAGTCATCAGGGAAATGTGAAAAAAAACAGAATGAAATACCACTACACGCCCATTAGAATTGCTAAAATTAAAAAGTCTGACAATCTCAAGTATTTTTGAGGATATGGAACAACTGGAACTCTCATTCATTACTGGTGGGAAGTCCAACCACTTTGAAAGACTTTCTGAGTTTCTTGAAAAGTTAAACTATACACTTACCATATGTCCCAGAAATTCCACTCTTAGGAATTTTCCCAAACAGAATGCAAAACATATTTCCTCAAAAAGATTTGTACAGGAATGTTCATAGCAATTTCATTTATAATAGCCCCAAAGTGGATACAATCCAAATGTCCATCAACAAGTGAATGAATAAACAAACTGCGATGTATTCGTAATTAGAATACTACTAAGTGATAAAGAGGAACAAACTACTGGTACAAAACATGTTATACTCAGGGAAAGCTATCAGACACAAAAGAGTGCATTCTGCATGATTCCATTTATAAAGTTCTAGAAGAAGCAAAACTAATTTATATTGATATAAATTGGATCAAGTCAGTGTTTGCCTAGCTTGAAGGTTGAGATTTTTCTCACTGTAAAAGGGACATAGAATTTTTTCAGCTGAGGGAAATGTTCTGTATCTTGATGGGGTAGTGACTCCACTGGCAAATAGATTTGTTGAAATCATTGAATTGTATAGTTAAAATGTATGTATCTTTTTATATGTAAATTATACCCCAATAAAGTTGATTAAAAATAAAATATCTAGGAATAAATCTAATTAAATACTTGCAAGACCTCTACACTGAAAATTATAAAATAATTTTGAGAAACATTAAAGAAGACCTAAATAAGTATAGAGATATACTGTGCTCATGGATTGAAAGACTCAATATTTTAAAGTTGTCAGTTATTCCCAAATTGATCTATAAATTCAATACCATTCATATAAAAATCTCAGCAGGTTATTTTTTGTTGACAAGCAGATTCCAACTATGTATATGAAAATGCAAAGAACCAAATATAACCAAGAAAACCTTGAAGAAAAAGAGAGCTCCAATACTTCCACTACTAGATACCAAACTTAATACAATCCTATAGTGAGTAAATAGTGAATAAATAGTATGATATTGTCTCAAAAGTTAACATATATATGTACACACACACACACACATATGTATGGATCTGTGAAACATACCTACACATACTGTTACCTGATTTATGACAAAGGTGACAATGCAATGAAGTGGGCAAAATATTTTTTTTCCAAAAAGTAGTAGCAGATCAGTTGGATATTCAAATGTGAAAAATATATGTTGACTCCATCTTAAATAATACACAAAAATAAACTCCCAATGGATTGCAGATCTAAATGGAAAAGGTGAAAATATCATTCTAATGCAAAATACACAGGAAATCATCTCCTCCTTTGGAGGCAGTGTTCCTAAAGAGGACATAAAAAGCACTAATTATGAAGGACAAAAAAGAATATACGTTGCACTTAATTAATATCAAAAGCTTCTGTTGATGAAAAGATACCATTAAAAGAATAAGAAGGCAAGTCACAAACTAGGAGAAGATATTTGGAACACATATATCTGACAAATGATTTGTATCTATAATGTATAAAGAACACTCACAAATGAATAAGAAATGAAAAGAAAATACAGACAGTTCAATGGAAAAATGGGCAAACACCTTAAAACGGCACTCCAAAAATAATATCCAAATGTCTAATAAATTTGTGAAAATATGGTCAACTTTATTAGCTTGCAGACAAATGCAAATTAAAACCAAAATGTGATACCACTATACACCCTCTAGAATGTCTAAAATAATACACAGAAAACATCAAGTGTTTTACGAGGATGTGGTACAGCTAGAACTGGTACTACCGCTTTGGAAAACTGTTGGAAAAATATATAAAGGTAAACAGATGTATAGTCTATGACCTAGCAATCTCACTCTAGATATGCTCATAATAAAAAAGTGTGCATTGGTTTACAAAACATTTACACATGCAGGTATATCTCAGAGATATCACAGGCATGGTTCCACACTACCGCAATAAAGTGAATACTGCAATACAGCAAGTCACGTGAATTTTTTGGTCTCTTAGTGCATATAAAAGTTATGTTTACACTATACTGTAGACTATTAAGTGTGCAATAGCATTATATCTAAAAAAACGGTGTAAATATCTTAGTTAAAATATATTTTACTGCTAAAAAATACTAACCGTCACCTGAGCCTTCAGCGAGTCGTAATCCTTATGCTGGTGGAGGGTCATGTGAAAAACGCAACATCTGCGAAGCGCAATAAAACGAGGTGTGTCTGGGTATGTTCATAATAGCACTTTTTAAATTGCCAAAAATTAGCAAATACCCAAATGTTCTTCATCAGAAAAATGTATAAGCAAATTGTATATTTACACAGTGGAATATTATTCAGCAACAAAATTGTACGAATTACAACTACACACGGTATGGACGGATCTCACAAACATAATGTGGAGATGAAGCCAGAGTGAAAAAGAGTAATGTCTGTGAGTTTCTATGAGTTCAAACATAGGCAAAACTGTCTATGAATTTGCAGGGGAGTGGCAGCCTTGGGTAATTACCGGAATGAAGTTTTTACAGTGTTGGTAATGCTCCGCGGTTTTGTTTTGTTTTGAGTGCTGGTTAAATGGTTTTAGTTTGTAAAATTTCATTGAGCTACATACATATGATTTGGACACTTTTATGTATGTATTTTATACTTTATTAAAAAGTGCCCTAAATGCAAAACAAACTGACATCATTCTTCTCATAGTAAATTGTTAAACTTTAAAAAAAAATTCTCACACTATTGGTGGGTATGTAATTTGGTACATTCTTTCTGGAGGGCTATTTGATAGTAATTATTAAAAGTCTTAGAAATGG